CAATGTGCTACTCCCTTCTCGACCACCATCCACAACTAATAGAATTTGAGGTAGGTTTGACTCCTCACCCAATACGGTCTTGTTGAATGAGAGGATTACCTTCTCTTATAAACCAGTAGGTTTGAGCGTGCCTAGTCGGTGTGGGACTCAAACACTTTCCCTCACGGTCAAGCCCATATGTTGGGTCATGCCTGTAAGGTAGTTGTCGGCTCTAACTCCTCACCCGTTGGTTAAACACTCAGCTCAACTAAACCTGAGCGTCTTGTTGAATGAGAGGATTATCTTCTCTTATAAACCAGTAGGTTTGAAAGTGCCTAGTCAATGTGAGACTCAAACACTTCCCCTCACGGTCAAGCCCATATGTTGGGTCATGCCTGTAAGGCAGTTGTCGGCTCTAACTCCTCACCCGTTGGTTAAGCACTCAGCTCAACTGAACCTGAGCGTCTTGTTGAACGAGAGAATTACCTTCTCTTATAGACCAGTAGGTTTGAGCATGCCTAGTCGGTGTGGGACTTAGACACTTCCCCTCACGGTTAAGCCCATATGTTGGGTCATGCCTGTAAGGTAGTTGTTGGCTCTAACTCCTTACCCGCTGGTCAAGCACTTAGCTCAACTGAACCTGGGCTCTGATACCATGATAGAATATGAGGTAGGTCTGACTCCTCACCTAATAAGACGTTATTGAAGGGGAGGATTATCTTCTTTTATAAATCAATAGGTTTAAGCGTGCTTAGACGATGTGGGACTCCAACAACAACCACTCCACCAGCCTTCCCTTTCACTGCCACTTCCCAAACTCAAAACCCCCACAATTCGTTTCTGCCTTTGCAAAATATGCTAGGAAGGCCAACCTCATTTAGCCTGCCAACTGTTCGACACGATTCCCCACCCAACAACCGTCCTTTGGAACACCATTATTGGTTTTATTTGCAGCAAAATGCCACAAGATGCCATTTTGTTCTATGCCCAGATGAAAAAATCTGCTCCTTATACTTTGTGTGATAACTGTACTTCCTCTTCGGCTCTCAAGGCTTTTGCTGCGACACCCAATTTGAGAGTGGGTAAAGCTGTTCATTTCCGTTTAATTAGGGGCTTATTGAACCCCAGTAGGATTGTGTATAACTCTTTGTTGAATATGTACTCGTTTAAGTTATGTGGTGGATAGGGAAATTGGTGGGTGTGGTTATTCTGATTTTGATTAGTCAAAGTATGATTTAGTTTGTAAAGTATTTGATACGATGAAAGGAAACCTAACTAGGAGTGAATACATGCTAAAAATGAAACAATATGTTGATGATGTACTACCTACTAGTGGTTGTGTGATAACTAATGAGGATTTCTTGAATTACATACTGGATTTGTCCTGAGTTCGTTGTTGTGGTAGTTAACATTACTGCTAGATTTGGAAGTCTATCATTTGCAAAAGGCACAATCTATTTTTCCATATTATTCTAGATGAGTGAGAAATGTAGAACACTTATCTAGAATTAAGTCTTTTATAAAGTCATGTTAAACATGTAAATGTAATAAATTATTTCTAGCGAGGGAAAAAAACATATGTAATGTACAAATATTAGTCAAATACATATGATGTGAGTTGAAATACACTCAACATATACCGATGAGAAATCACAAATTGAGTACAATACCAACAGTAAACAAAAAGATTCATGATGAACTTTCAAAATGAAACTCTTTAAGGCAAATGGAACAAATCCATGCATCATTAGGGACAAAATATGATCAACTAAAACTATATGCTTCTTCCATGGCTATGTTTCTTAATATATCATCAATCAAGTCTCCAAATGCAGCATATGAAGATCCACCCTCCATCACTGCTAATCTGCTCTTTTCACTCTTCTCTTTCACCTTCTTTCTCACCTCATTATCACTCTCCATCACACATTTTATGGCTCTTGCTATCTCATCTGCAACCACAACAGCCTTATTCATGATCCTATAATCCACTTTCAACTCCACAGCCAGTCCCAAATTTTTCACCATTTGGAATGCATTAAGCGGTTGCTCAGCATACAGAGGCCATGCCACAATTGGAACACCAAACCACAAGCTTTCCAAGATTGAATTCCACCCACAATGTGATACAAATCCCCCTATTGAACTATGAGCCAAGACCTCCTTTTGTGGCACCCAGCCACAAACCAAACCAATATCCTTGGTTTTTTCCAAGAATCCATTTGGCGAAGCCTCCTGGAGATTATCAGTCTTGTAATCACTAGGCCTTTCAACTTTATCCTTTGGTGGTGGCTTTCGTAATGACCACAAGAACCTCACCCCACTTTGCTCCAATCCAACTGCAATTTCTTTCACTCGCTCTTCTCCAAAGCTCCCTTGGCTTCCAAAGCACAAGAAAACAACTGATGAATCAGGTTGATCATCAAGCCATTTCATGATCTCATCACCTTTTTGTTTCTCATCCAAACTAACTTATTGCTTTCACCCTTGAGATCAATCACCGGTCTAACTCTGTATTCTGTAAACAGGTGGCATGAGATTCCAGCTCCTCAAATGTGTTGACAATAATCCCTTTGGTCTCCTTGTATCTTCTTCCATGGTTCATAACTGTAGTGTAGCCACCATGCTTGTTCAACAAAACTTCAGGCAGACCACTGCTTGGAACTGGATTAATATAACTAGGGATCACCAACTCACCATCAAACTCTTCAATTTCTCTTCCTACTTTATCATGTCGAATTGGAAGGTACAGCACGAGACCAAGAAAAGCTTCACTAGACGTCTAGAACAAATAAATAGGAACTCCAAGTTCATTTCCCACATCTATCATTGATGTACAAAGAAAATCAACAACCAACCCGGCAAATGGAACTGACTTAGAGTTTGAAAGCACATGCTTGACAATAGCTTCTTTAACACAAGCTCTATGACAATCTATAATCTCAATTAAAAACTTTTCTACAGATTTATGAACCTCTTGTGAAGGAGAGAAGTCTACAGGAGGAGGAAGATTGATTAACCTTATTGAAATAATAGATTCTGCAAGTGATTTGGTGCATGCAGCTGTAGGAGAGGTGCCTAAAGGAGAATCCATGAGAAGAGCAGTCACTGAGAAACATTCATCTCAATCTAACAAGGCTTTGCAAACTCGATTTGGGGAGCTAGGTGGCCAGCGCCTGTCCAGGGATGAACACAAGCTCAGCTATCTTCATTGTTGGTGGTAAATGTGATGACAGAAGATAAAGTATATTTTTCCTTTTTAGAAATTTATTGGTTAAATGAACAGTACATGATGTATACACCTCTACAACTCTCGAAAACTTATTTAAGAAATAGTTAAGAGGTCATAATCAAACTAGGGTAAAACAATTCAATAGTCTTTAGAAATATCTAATTCAAGATGAGATTAGAGAGAGTTAAATTTCAGTATAAATAGAAGAGTACACATATGAAGAAATTTACAAGATTTACATAATTGAGACAATTAAGGGAGATTGAATCAATTTACAGGTCAACAGATTGATACCTTAAATATCTTGTAGCTGTAGTGTCTTGATTTAAGGAACCTTTGTCATAATTTATATCACCTTGGTCAACTAGTATAATCTTAGCATCTACTGAACATGGTAGGCAAGAGAAGCGGCTAGAAGTCATTGCCTTAACAGTATGTGTTAATAATGAATACGTTTTGGTAGAAGCACACAAGTAGAAGGGACGTATGCCGTGGCACACAAGAACAAGCTGGAACTAAAATTCCAGAATGCTTGATGCCTAGGCACTGTGCCGAGGCATGGTTTAGAGTTTCAGTTTTAGAGAAAACCAAATGAAGTTATTTTCAGTTTTTATTATTCTGTAACTTCTTGCAAGTGTTGTTGTAAGCTATTTTTCAGTTATCCTTTTAAAACCTATAAAAGGGAATGTAAGATGCATGTTTTAATTGAGTTCAATGAATAAAATTGTTCTCTTTTTACAAAAGTTCATCTATTCTTCTCAATCTTATGAATGAAGTTGATTGATCCCCAATAATTACATAATGCTACATGGTAACTCTAGTTCTGTTGTTTCTGCAATTAATATTACTATTCTAACTTATCTTAAAGCTAATACCATATATCCTCAGACTTATTTAGAGAATGAAAATCTTTTTAATAGTACATATAATATTTCACTAAACATATATATACTCTTCTTCATGACATGTTTCCTAATACATCCTCAATCAAGCATCCATATGCAGCAAATGAAGATCCACCATTCATTACTGCTGATCTGCTCTTTTCAATCTCTTCTTTGACCTTCTTCCTTGCTTCATTATCATTCTCCATCACACATTTTATAGCTCTTGCTATCTCATCTGCTGACAAAACTTCTCCACTAATATTTCTGTAATCCAATCTCAACTCCACAGCCACTCCAAAAAATTTCACCATTTGGAATGCATTCATCTGTTGCTCAGAATACATTGACCATTTTGCCATTGGAACACCAAATCAGAGGCTCCCCAAGTCTGAATTCCACCCAAATGTGAAACAAATCCTCCTACTGATTTATGAGACAACACCTCGTTTTGTGTGGTCCATCCACACACCAAACCAGTCTCCTTTGTCCTCTTCAAGAACCCTTTTGGCAACACCTCTGGACATCACCTTTGTAATCAGTAGTTTTTAGTGGTGGCTTCCGTAATGACCACAAGAATCTATGCCCCCTTTGCTCCAAGCCAAGTGTTATTTCTTTCATTTGCTCTTTATCAAAGCTCCCCAGGCCTTCAAAGCGGAAGAAAACTAGTGATAAATCAGGTTGATCATTGAAATATTTATACCTTCGAGACTTATAATATATCAGAAAAACTTCAAGAGTTCAGAGTTACTGTCCAATTGAAATATTTATATCACCTTCTCATGATTTGAACTCTTCTTAGTTGTAAAGATTTTGTTTCATGTGTTTATATATATAATTTATTTGTTTACTCATCTTATAGTTATGTGTAAGTCACAAATATAAAAGTTAAAATCAACTTAACATAAATCGAATAAAAATCTAAAATTAAGAACAAGAAGCTTCAACAACATAGAAAATGAAACAATAGTAGACAAAAATATTTCATCGAGAACTTTCAAACTTGAAACTCTTTCAGGAAAATGGATTAAATATGAATAAACAAGACTATGTCTCTTTCATGGCTTCGTTTCTTAATATATCATCAATCAAGTCTCCAAATGCAGCATATGAAGATCCACCCTCCACTACTACTAATCTGCTCCTTTCACTCTTCTCTTTAACTCTCTTCCTCACCTCATTATAACTCTCCATCACACATTTGATAGCTCCTGATATCTCATCTGTGACCGCAACTTCCCCATTCATGATCCTATAATCTAATCTTAACTCCACACCCAATCCCAAATCTCTAACCATTTGGAATGCATTAATCTGTTGCTCAGCATACATAGGCCATGTCACAGTTGGAAAACCAAACCACAAGCTTTCCAAGATTGAATTCCACCCACAGTGTGACACAAATCCCCCTACTGATTTATGAGCCAACACCGCCTTTTGTGGAGCCGATCCACAAACCAAACCAATCTTCTTTGTTCTTTCCAAGAACCCATTTGGCAAAACCTCCCGGAGATGATCACTCTTGTAATCATTGGGCCTTTCAAATTTATCTTTTGGTGNATTGTCATCCAGTATTTTTGGAACGTGGTACTGTTACCCCTATCAGATAATGGAGGTTAGTGATGGTGTTAGACGGTCTAGGGGCATAAGCGTCATTTCAGTACAATTTAATCAAATACGAACAATATAAAAAAATGGTAATCATTGTTATAGATTTCTCCTTGATAAGTACAATTTCTTATGTAAAAAGAACCACACAAAAATAGGCAAAAAAGAATTTATGTCATATTATACTCTTGATTCATTACAACAAAAAGAGTTTGTTATAGAGAATTTGATTGTATAATCGAATGGTAAAACAAGCTTACTAACTAAAAGTGGATTTCACTATATAGTGAAATAAGGGTATGTTTGGCAAGCAACATAGCATAACATAAAATAATGCAATGTTGTGTTTGGTGACAAAACTACGTCATTAAACAACGTCAAGTCTAAAATAATGCAGTATATTCTACATAAAATAATGAGAAGTAAAATTGTGACATAACTTAATGTAATTCACTCAACATTAATTTTAAGCAAATAAGCATTACTAATTTGTTTAATATTTATAAATTTAATTTGCAAGGCCAGGTCAAACTACATTGACCATTGTTTTACCAACATTGATCTGTATTGAACAATGTTTTGATTTTTGTTAATCAACATTGACTACTAACACGTTCATCTTTTGACTTGTTTTTTTAATTATTAGTTAGATAATAATTAAAAATATATTAGTATTTAATAAATGAATTTATGTTAGAAAAAAAAGCCGATATTATACCATGTAATTCATATACCAAATATAGTACAGTATTAAAATAATGTCACGCAATATTCTAATTCATATACCAAATATAGTATAGTATTAAAATAATGTCACGCAATATTCTACTGAACATCATTCAACATTTAGCATAACCTTATATAATACAATGCAATGTCATGCTATGTTATGTGATTTTTTTAATACTATACTATATTGCGTATCAAACATGCCCTAAATTCGTTATAACGAAGTGACTTATCTTTCAATTGCTTATGAGTCATAAAGTCAACATTTTTAATTAATTTTTTTACATCTCATGATCAACAATTTATTCACTGAACTAAATTTTCATTATAGTAACAGAAATTATTGGGTTAAGCATCCATGAGTGCACTTATTATCTATAACCCATTAGTGACGGTTNTTGCTCCAATCCGATTGCAATTTGTTTCGCTTGCTCTTCTCCAAAGCTCCCCTGGCTTCCAAAGCACAAGAAAACAACTGATAAATCAGGTTGATTATCAAGCCATTTCATGATCTTATCTCTTTCTGTCACATCTAGAACTAACTTGTCACTCTCACTCTTGAGATCAATCATCGGTCCAACTGTGTAAACAGGTGGCATATGATCAAAATCATTCTTCAAAGACTTAACCGCATGAGATTCCAGCTCCTCAAATGTGTTGACAATAATCCCGTTGGTCTCCTTGAAACTTTTTCCATGGTTCATAAATGTAGTGTAGCCACCATGCTTGTTCAACAAAACGTCAGGCATAGCACTGCTTGAAACTGGATTAACATAACTAGGGATCACCAAATCGCCATCAAACTCTTCAATTTCTCTTCCAACTCGATCATGTCGAGTTGGAAGGTACAGCAAAAGACCAACAGCAACTGCACTAGAAGGGGAGAACAAATAAGAAGGAACACCAAGTTCATTTCCCACATCTATCATTGTTGTACAAAAGAAATCAACTACCAAGCCAGCAAGTGGAGTTGAGTTAGAACTAGAAAGCACGTCCTTGACAATAGCTTCTTTAACACAAGCTCTGTGACAATCTATATACTCAGTCATAAACTTTTCAAAGGATTTATGAACCTCTTGTTAAGGACAGTAGTCAACAGGAGGAGAAACATTGATGAACCTTATTGAAGTATTAGATTCTGCAAGTGATTTAGTGTGTGCAGCTGAAGGAGGGGGGCCAAAAGGAGAACCCATGAGAAGAACAGTCACTGAGAAATAATCATCTGAATCCAACAAACGCTTTGCAAACTCAATATAGGGAACTAGGTGACCTGCGCCTGCTCCAGGGATGAAGACAAGGTCAACTTTCTTCATTTTTGGATTAGAGAAGATGAAAGTATATTTCTTCTTCTTTGTCCTGTCTTTTATAGTTTTATTTAGTTAATATTCAATTATGTAAATTATTTTCTAATTATTATATTATCAATCCCAACCCAATCAAGCTTGCATGTTGTCACGGGCATTTCTCGCCGAATCAGATTAATGTACTTGTCTTATTCAATCATGCAAATATACTTGTCTTATTCAATTTTATCTCTAATTGGGTTAAGTCAACCCTGTAATCAGTTTAAGGGTCTATATAATTTGTAAAATGGCAACAATTTTCACTTCCTCACCTTATTATCGTCATCCATGACACATTTTATTTGAGAACAAATCTACGAATAATCTATATTTTCACTTCATTAGCATACAAGACAAGTGTCCTTAGCTCCAGCAAGTTAATCACATGGCAGTGGCGCAATTTTGAACGGAATTTGATTGAGCACTTCGAGGCATGGACACTAACCCCAACATGAAATTTACATCTTTATCGTTTCCAATTTATGCAGTAGACGCAGCAAGAAACAAGATTTGATCAGGCTGAAATAAAACTGAAGCAGAAAGAAATCAAGTAATCACATTTTGAGTAGAAGTTGGCAATGCTTAAAACATTGGCAGCAAGTTAACAACAGAAAACGTTTTCATGTGTTTCCAAAGATTTTTTGATATATTCATGTTCAATCAATTTTCCAAATGCAGCATATTAATATCCACCATTCAGCACTGCTAATCTGGTCTTTTCACTCTATTCTTTGAGCTTCTTCCTCACTTCATTATCAGTGTCCCTCGCACATTGTACAGCTCTGGCTATCTCATCTCCCAACACAACTTCTCCACTAGTAATTCTATAATCCAATCTCAACTCCACAGCCAGTTCCAAATCTTTTGCCATTTGGAATGCATTAAGCTGTTGCTCTGCATACATAGGCCTTGTTGCAATTGGAACTCCAAACAACAAGCTCTCCAAGATTGAATTCCACCCACAATGTGACACATGCTCCTACTGATTTACAGGCCAACACCTCCTTTTGTGGTGTCCATCCACATACCAAACCAGTCTTATTTGTTTCCTCCAGGAACCTGTTTGGCAATACTTCCTGGAGATCACCTTTGTAATCACTAGGCCCTTCAAATTTATCCTTTGGTGGCGGCTTGCGTAAAGACCACAAGAATTTGTGACCACATTGCTCCAGCCCGAGTGCTATTTCTTTCACTTGCACTTCATCAAAGCTGCCCAGGCCTCCAAAGCACAAGAAAACACTGATGAATCAGATTGATCATCAAGCCATTTCATGATCTCATCTTTTTCTGAATCATCACCGAAACATAATTTAACACTCTCCCCCTTCACATCAATAAGCGGCCCAACTGTGTAAACATGATGTAAATTATCGTCTTCAAAATCATTCAACAAACACTTGCAGCTGTGCCTCCAGCTCTGTATAAGTGTTGACAATATCCCTTTGGTCTCCTTGAATCTTCTTCCAATCTTCACAAATGTATCATAACCACCATACTTGTTAAACAAAACAAAGGCAAAATTCTGCTAGGAATTGGATTAACGTAACCAAGAATTATATCTCAGAATCAAACTCTTCAAACTCTCTTCAACTTCATCATCCGACCTGGAAGGTACACACGAAACCAAGAAAATCTGCATTACAAGTGAAGAACAAATAAGAAGGAACACCGAGTTCATTTCCCACATCTACAATTGATAACAAAACAATACAACACCAACGACAAGTGGAGCTGAGTTAGTTTTGAAAGACATTCTTAATAATAGCTTCTTTAACATAAGGTTTGTAACTCCCTCATGATCAGTCACAAGTTTTTCTCTGGAAACTTTAGATTTTTGCAGTGAAGGAGGTCTACGTAAGGAACTCCTATGAGATCTGCCAACATTAAGGCAAATTCTACCCTTTACTTCTTCAAGAACGAAAAAGTTTATGTTACCACGGGATACCGCATTAATGATATCACAAATCAATATATGCATATTACATAGATATCAGTTTAATCACCGATCTCATTGATTATAAAATGGATGGTAAAAAAAAAAAAAAATTCTCAGACAACATATATACATGGACTTATGACATGACTGACATGATATCTTGTGAGATTCTATGTTTTTCTCGAAAATATCCCAACTTTAAATTTATCACTTATAATATGTCCACAGCTCCAGAGCATCAAAGATCATACAACAAACCAACGGATATTCGTAGTAGGGCATCCTGAGCAAACATAATTTTTTGCATGCTTTCTTATAAAATTCATCACAAATCTCTCTCTGCCGACTTCAAATAAAAGCAACTGAGCCATATGATCAACATTAAAGAAAAAGTAGTCATGTTTGCAATAAACTTTCAAACAAAAGGAATGTCAATAAACTATATGTAATGAGATGATGCATACAATGAGAGGGAAACATTAAGAAGGTAACTTGAATTTGTGACAGGAGCTTAATGTCAAAATTCTCTAGTCTTCCCAGATAATTTAATTCATTAAAGGGATTCAAACAAAAGCAGTTATGAGTCAGCAATTGTCAAGTTGAAGCTCCACTTATTGACTAACCAGTCAGCAACCTGAATTCACCTCCTAAATGCTTTGGCAATATTTTAGTAACTTAAGAACTATCCTTCCTCAGATTCTACACACTCTGTTCTAGCCTCTGTTTTAGCTGTTAAACGATACATGTTTTTTTGTCTATATGAGTTGAGAAAACCTTTCGATTAGTAGACCATCTTTAACAACATGACCTTGAAACCAAACACTGGCATGAGAGCACCAACTGCAACAGATAACACCTTGTGGGGTCCAACCCATCATCCTCCATTAGAAACTGACTTCAACAGGACCAATTGTACCTCCGGCAACCCGGAACTCCCAATTGAGAATCTTTGGCATTTCCCCACATGTACAACTTCCCTTTATCTGAATATATAGCAATTATCAAACAATATGGTAAAAACAATATATAATCTGAGTTTTATTTATTTGATTTGCATATAAAATTATTGTTCATAATGATATCCAAATATTTGATTTTTAAATTTAGCATCTTTCAACTTAGTTGAATACTAAAGATAGAATACTAAAAGATATCCTCAAACCTCATTTCTGTGCTATTATGAGATCGGATAACTATAGATACTTGGAAGATTGTAGGATTGAAGGGTGATGGAAATATCAAGGACCTGTTATGGCTGCTGAGGATGAGCCCCCACAGCGATGTAGACTACACGCTTAAGCATAAGCCTCGATCACCACAGGTACTTTCAGATTTTCGGTTGAAGAATGACCCAACTGACCATGTCCCCTACCCCAAGAAAGAACTTTGCCTTCTCTGAATTATACATAAAAAATGAAAACCAATATTAGTAACAGCCTAGAATAGGAAGGAGGGGGTGGCAAGTGAGGAATGGATTTAATAAGGTTGCCGTGGCAATCGTGAATTAAGCAATTATTTTACCAGTTAATGCAAGGGAGTGATAGCCACCACTTGCTATCTGAATGATACGAACACCTCAAGGCTAGGAATTGGCTGGTCTCCAACCACCACCTTATCACCTCTTCCAAGCTCATAGTTAGAACTTGCTGAGCAGAACACATGACAATGTGTATTGATGTCATTGTAATGTTACACAAGCAGATAAATGGAATTTCATCCAAGTTAAACTTAAGAGAGTGATATCCAGAATTGTGCAACATCCGAACAAATAAATGAAAGTAACTAAACTGCAATTGGGGATAGATAAGGAGAAAAATAAGACAAAAGAGTTGATATCTTTACCTCCCCAATTCCAAAGTTGCCCTTCCTCTGTCAGCACTGTTGTAAAAAAGCCACCACAAGAAACAGCAGCAACAGATACAGGTAATGCTTTGACCTTAGAAGGATACCAAGTCCACCTCCCTCATTAGGGCCTGGACTAGGACCAAGGCCCAGTCTTCCATCTCCTTCATCTCGACCCCGAGTGTAAAGTTCCCCTATATTCATAATAGATGGATTAAGTATTTGACAGCCCTCTTTCTTTATTCTTTCCGTAACAAATATGAAGGCAATATGAATCATCTTCTCATAAAGAACAACTAGAAACCCAAAATGCAAGAATACATAAACCTACAGACATTTGAAATGTTCCATTCAATTTGTTCTGCAGTCCTAGATTGATATGTTTTCCACATTATGAGTTCGAGGGCTGTTTCCGAAGGTCCAAATCAACTCATATAAATTTAGTCCAGGTTACGCAGCCTGTATCTAAAATGCAAACCCAATAGTATATACATGTAAAGAAATTTCCATACAAAAAACAGGGCCAGTTAAGAAGAAAAACCTGATTCAGTTATTGCAGCAGTATGTGTCCCACTGGTTGCGAGTGCCGTATTTTCCCATTCCAGAACCTTCCACCAATCTAGGAAACAACTCTCTATGATAGACAGAATGTCCAAGTGCACCAAAACACCATAACCCCTGCAAACTTTTAATGATAGAGCCTTGTATTATCAGGCTAAAAACACTTAGTGAACACAACAATGTGATGAATATGTGCACACAACTCTCTTCTCCTGATATTTATCCAATCAAGCACAAGCGCATCATTAATTATCAGGCCAACCAGTTAAACTGACATAGTTATATTCTAAATCTTGAATAACAACACTTAGTTGCTTCAATATCTCCATTTTACTAAATAGAAAGAAAAAATGCTCTGTTGATCAAATGCGATTCCATATATTGATAAAAGCTCTTTTGCTTTCTCTTTTATCAGTCCTTTGGTTGCAATTCGAGGAGAGTGCTATGTCATGTCAACTAACTTCCCCAATAAGCTCTTTTAAAAATAAATTACCATACCCAAAATTTTTTGGTTAGAGTATTACAATTACCCCTGCAAGATTGATCACTCCAAATTTAAGATCAATAATTTGTATGGACTCCAAACAAAACAACATCTTGTTGCAAATCATAAAAAAAGTGATTGTTTTTG